CACCCGCGAACCCCTTGCGGTACTACCCTTCTTTTATAGGGACATCTCTGCGTCCGAAACTCCTTAAGAGATCCGCGAGAATCTGAACGAGGAGGAGTTTCAGTAACGTAAATAACCGGAACTTCCGGTTGCTCTATCTTTCCTTTAATTTCTCTTGGTTCTTTCACTGCAGCCCCAACCCCCATTTCGGCTCTACCCGTTCATCCCCTATCACTTTAAGTTTCCTGTCTTCGTCTTACTGTACCAGAAAATACCTTCGTGACAGACGGTATTTCTTGAAGATGTTGCTATAGTCTCTCTCTCTCTCGCTCTCTCCTATTTATTCCACCTCCACTACCACCCTCCAACCCTTAGTCTGGAATTCCGTCCAAGTTTTGTTTTGAGATACGAGCGTCCCTTGACCAGATGAGAGCACTTATCGTTAGGAGCCCTGCTCAACTACCCTACTATTACATCTACCCAGCATCCCATTGGAACTACAGAATGTTACACGTAAGACACTGATTTAAATGGTGGATTAGCATAAGTCCTGAGAAATCCGCAAAGATTTCTTCGAATGTAAATATCTCTTTGTTCTCGGCTAACGTATCGCGTTGAAAGCACAAGAAAGTAAGGAACTTTGATAAATTTTTCAAACTTCGCGCAAACGATGCAGCGTAACGCTGTTTCTCGACAACACGTGAAAACTTGAGAAATAGGACGAGGCACTCTTTGAAGACGTGAAACTATTTCATGGTGGGTTGCTGGGTCGTGGAAGGGGACGATAAGGATCGATACAGATATCCCAGTACGTTGCATTCGTAGCGATTCAAACTAAAATAAATTCCTACGCTTTAGTGGTTTTTCCGATAGACATGCCAACCCTCTGCCATCATCCCCCCCCCCCTCCTGTACCCATCCCACTTTCCCTTGATACTGACTCTTGAATCACTCTGTCCCGTGATCCTGCTAATTTGGAAAATGGAGTAGAGTACCACCTTGGTATATATGTATATAGTGAGAGAGAGAGAGAGTGAAAGAGAGAGATGAGGATCATCTAATCTTTCTCGAATCAAGGAACCGAGAAAATTCCGTGGCTCCATGCACCAACGCGCGTATAATCAACGGAAATAATTTCGTGATAAAGGGTAGTAAAATTTTTAATTCGACGTTCAATGAATTTTTGAAATTTTATTAATCGCTATAGGCGATATCCGGGAGTGGTGGGGGAAAAAATGTTGAGAATTTGTATTACGGAACTTCCTCTAGATTAGTAGCGAATCGCTCGTCGATGGCTTATCAGTGACGTAACGACAATGTAACGCGATAAGAGGAAGTGGAAGTGCACGTAAAATTGTATCCGTAATTTCGTTGATAAGTGATACTGTCCCTGTTGTCGCTGCTATTCGTGGATAATGGGACGGAACGAGGTAGAAAATGGTACATCAAAGAAGCTGGACAAAGGCCCCGTTTTGTCCAGCTAATAGAGTGGGGCTTCAGGATAGAACTGCTGGACCATTTCCTATAGGGATCTTTTCTCTTCTCGCTCGCCTCTCTCGTCGTGTCCTTTTCTTCCCTTCGATGGGATTGACTTTCCCTTCTGTATGGAATGGAATTTCGCGAAATCTCTTTCTGTTTTATCGACTGAGAACGGAATCTCGCGTCTATCTATGTATAGGCCGCCGTGCAATTTTATGACCTATAAAGTCCGACCAACCACCACGGATATGTTTCGTTCCGCGGATGAGTGCAATTTTGCAAAAAAATAAATATACTCAAACTAATCGTGTGAGCGAAAAAGGTTTTTGTAAGAAAAATCAAATTTACAATTTCTTTTTTTTTTTTTTTTTTTTTTTTTTTTTTTTTTTTTTTTTTTTTTTTTTTTTTAAATCTGAGAAGTGTTATGCGTCGAATCTTTTTCAAGGGTTGGTACCATCCCTTAGAAGATGTTGGCTGGCTGATTTTTCGTGGGAGCGTCAAGGCATTCATTCGAAAGCGCTTTTCTTTGGCTTTGTGACGCGAACGGAGGGTCGTGATCCACGGGTTCCTCGAGAAGGACCGAGATCAGAGATCACGGAGTAAGGGAGTGGTGGAACACCTGCCGGATCACACGGCTACAATGATACCAGCTGCTGGGGTGAAGCAGATGATCTATGTGCCTGACGGCAGGAGCACGCGAGACGAAAAAAAAAGTCAAGGCAACAGACAAATTTTTTTCAGGCCTGAATTTCCCCTTTTTTTATCCTGACGTAACTCACAGATAACAATACGTTCGGTACGTCCCACATAACACTTGACGAATCTTCATTTCCTTCTTCACCCGGTATATTCCAAATTTTTTAAATTAAAAAAATTGATTTTCACAGTCACAAGTACGACTCAATAGACGTTCAGGTATTTTTCAAATTCCATTATCACAGATACAGGACAACTAGCTACGATAAATTTAATATCGCCTTATCAAATAACGATAGCACTGAAATCAGTCCATGTCAGTTTCAACACTGTTAAAATTTTTCCCCCATTCATTTACATAGCTCTTATCGCAATTATGAATTATAATTTATTTTTCACTTTTTTTTTTTTACGAATTTCATATTTCTCACAGATTTACATAACTAAAAAAAATCGAATAAAAACCTTCATATTATCCCCAGTTAATCTAAGCTTGGAAAACTTTCTGGATCGCTAAGCCTTCAAAACTGGCAACGCTGAGAAGACAAAGCTCATCCCAGCGAAAACGTAAATCACGAGCAGTCGGTGTATCTTCCTGGTGCGAGCGTGATTAACGAGCGTTAAAGCGAATTCTCACTTTTCGTACACCCGGTGCACGTAGCATCCAGCAGCCCATCCCGTTGCATACGTGAGCGCTATGGTTAGAGGAAAAGAGCGTAGGGGGGCAGGAGAGGACTGGTGCGGATGGGAGAGGCGTAGCACAGCCACCCTTTTCCGAAGCGCAGCATCCCTTCGCGATTCCAGTATTTCTCTGCTACGTTTCCAATGAACGAGAAGAGACTAGGGGTTTGGGTTTTTGGGGTTTGGGGGGGTGGCATGCCTGTGAAAGGTTGCTCGGAATACTGCAGCTGTTATATATATAGGGCGTTACACGAGTAACGACCACGTACACGCGAGCTACAAAATGTACCGATCAGATTTCAATAGACGTATTTCAATCGGGGTCAGCGCATTCGAATCTCTCGCGTGGCAAACTTTATAGGATGCATGGCGCACACCCGTGCTACCCCTATCTGTCCATCCGTACGTCTTCCCGTCCGTCCATCCATTCGTTCTGAAGGACGGGAGTGTGAATAGATAGCAAAAAATTTAGGGGTTGAAAATGAAACGAAGACCCAGCACTGGGAGCAGAAGCAGCGAGAGAGAGATGGTGTTAATAGAATCGCCTTGCCTTACAGTGTTAATATATTTACGAAAAACAACCCTTAAAATGGTCCGAGCAAGGGTGAAATTATATTCTTCAGATAATATCGTTTATCGTCCGTTTCGTCGAAATTTCCATCCGGCTACCAGAAGCACTTTAATACGTAAATCCACGCGCCCCCCGCACTATCCAGGGAATGAATTAAGACCATTTCGGCTGGAATTCTAACCCTTTGTAACAACATGGGATTCCGTATTGAACTTATCAATCGAGACTCACCTTCTTCGCGTCGTTATTGTTGTCCGCTGCGTGATGAGGCTGCGGACTCATTGCGGCGCCATTGCTGACCGCACCGCTTTGAGACAGAAGTTCGTCGCTTCCTCTCTGAAACAAAAGTGAAAACGATACGATTTAACAATGACGTATCGAGAATAATCGAGCATTGGCATCTAAGTGTATAAGAGGTGAGAGATATTGGTGTAATTAATTTTTCGCTCGACTGACTGATAACTATGGTTGTTGCTTATCTTATCAGTAGTAACAACCCCGAACGGGACAAAGTTTCGTAGCCCTTTTGTTGTAGCTTTGGCAAAACTTTCGTAGAACCCATAAAGTACACACGAAACGTCTATCAAGCGTGTTCTACGCCTTTGGCAGTTTTCGTACAGTGTCGTAGAGCGAGATTACGGTTATAAAAAAAAAGAATTGTTGAACTTTATATACAAATATTATATTTCGTCTCAAATCACGTCCCACTATCGAGCCCCGCTTCGGTAATCTGCTACCGTTCGATCCTCTTATCCTTTAGTCTCCTTGTATACTCTGCTCTATTTCTTACCTCCCTCCAAAACTGTTCCCCAATTAATTTTCATTTGTTCTCCACTGTAGAATAGATCCGATAATGTCTGGCATATTTGGCTGAATGGATTTAACGGGTCGGCATACGGCAGAGTGTACTCCTCGAGAGTTCAAAGAGAAGATGATGCCTCTCTGCGGGAGGTACAGAAGAGTGCGGGCTGAGGGGGGGAAGTTGGGGGATGATTTTGTGAAAGAGGTAAGAAGGATGGTTTTCTAAGAATACATAAGCAGGGTCGTATACCTTGTAGAGGCACCAAATGGAATCTTTAAAAGGGGTGCTATTTGATCGAGGATTTTATTTTTGGAGAAGAAAAAAGAACGAGATAAAAAAAAAGATTGCGAAAAAGATTTAATGGATAATCCGGAGAGTGCATGAAAATCCATCCTTCCGGATACTCCGAACGAGCTAATTCATAATCTACATAGTTTTCTACGGAACGGCGCGTTGTCTCGGGAGTTCAAAGAAATGGAATAGCAGATCAAAGAAGAAAGTACAAGTTGCGTAACGTTGAGGGCGTGAAGATCTGGCACGAGCTGGATTTGCTTGCTTAGAGGAGGAGAGGGAGATACAGCGTATACACGTGCAAGTAGGACGGGTGTACAAGGGTAGAAAGTTGGTAATGGAGAAAAGATGAAGGATCGGAGAAAGATGGAATTGTAGAGAGAAAAAAGAAAGCCCCTAGTCGTTGGGTAGAGAAAAAAAATAGGACGGTGGAGATGGTACGGAAGGATACGCTTTTGAAGTCCTTTAAAATCAGAGTGAAAAGAAAATGATTAAGAACAGGTTAATATGTAAAAAGTAATTATTAGAGAATAACATTAACGTGGAAAAGAAAGAAATGGGAACTAAAAGGTAAAGGAGCGTCACGGTTACGCGGACGTTGGTAGAGGCAGTTTCCCATTGGATGGGAACCAATATTTTTCGACCAAACAAAGAGGAGATGGCGCTAGTGTCGCTTTGATATCCTGACAATATTTCAGGACGAATAAACATTGGCTTCACTCCCTTCGCTCCCAAACCTACCCTTACTGCTGCTACGGGGCAACCTGACTGGTGGTAAGATCGAGATCGGTCCTAGCATTTCCTGACAATGTTTGTTGTGTGCCGAAGAAAGCTTAGTGATGCCAGGACTCGCAGGCGCCCTCCCTCCCTCGGTAACCCCGTGTCTGTCGGGGGCTAGATCCACCCCCCTAAACGGGCCGTGTGTCTTTATCCGTCTCTTAGTCCTAAAACCACGTCGCACGTAGAAGCACGAAGACGCGCCTAACGTCTTCGTTCGGGTTCCAAGGGATGGTTGGGCAGGAGACAGAAAGCTCGGAAGGGTGTGGTATTATTTATTTGTTTGTTGTGAAGATTTTGCGCGTCAAAAGGGTACAAGCGGTTCTATCTTCCATTTAAATGGCACGTTGAGGGTTGGTTCAGGCTGAGTAACCAAACCGTGAAAAATAGCAGGATTTTCTAGGTCGCTAGGGAAAACAAGAGCCGGATGGACGCTAAGGGTGCAAAGTGTCGCTAACAGTCGTACGATAGTACGAGGCTCTTATTTTCTTTACCCTTTCACTAAGATTCCGATTAAGGGGAACGGCGTCTCGAAGTTGCGTCTCCTAAAGGACGTTCCTCACTTTGGTAAACATGGCAATTTCTATCCTAAGGTCTTGGAGGAAGATCCTTCAGCCTTTAAGATGCAGATACAAAGGTTTCGTATGAGAACGGAACCCATCAAGGACATCCCGGGGTGGCTGTGTCCACGGGTTTGGATTTGAAGGAACAACAGGCGCCACTGGTTCGAACATCCCTTGGAGAGGGGATGAAGGAGACCCAGCCAAGGGTTCAGGGACTCCATAATCCATATGTCCAAGGAGAAATAAATAATACAGGAGTCTGCTGGGCAGGCTAGTGGGATCCTTGGATGGGGGATAAAACCACCTTTGGAAGAAAATACGAAAGCACAAACCTCTCTCCCGCCCCCCCTAACTCAGAATCTCCTCGGCCTCTCATAGAAGAGAGCACACAGCTTCAACCCTCTACCCCCGCTACTTCCTACTCTCTTCTACGCCGTTACTCTTTTACTTTGCTCTTACTGTTATCCTCCTTCGCTGCATCCCTCCCGACCATCCACCCAAGTTGAACCCCTGCAGCCAGGAGGCACAGCAGTATGCCTTTTCTCTGGGAACCATCCTCCGGGATCCTTCCACGTCCACCCTTCAACTATGCCGAAGCTTCTGCTCAACTCCCTCACTTTACTTTGAACGCTCTTCTTAATGGACTCTAGCTACGGTCTTCCATGCAGGTACATATATTCATGGCAAGTATGGCCGCCGAATCGGGGAGGGGCGAGGAGAGGGAGACAATATTCCCGATACTCTTTACGAGAACTATACCAGCGCTAAGACACAAATTCGGTACACTTTCAACATGCCTTTTCCTACTCTTACGCCCTTCGTAAATTTCATCTCTTTACCTACCTTTTATCCTCTAAATGAAATACGGTATGAATAAGTCACGAACTCGTCTTCGATTAGCCTGATGAATTCCACGTGTATACTGTATACGTACCAGTCATTCTACAGTCCGATACGTGTTTCTTGCGTATCTCCCTATGAGGTAAAACGGATGATTGTATATCTCTTAACTGTTTTCTTAAGTACGGAGCGATCCTGAGCGCGCGACGTCTCAGGAGGAAGATTCAACGTCAGAGAGTGAAACGATACGCGTGACATCGCCACTAAAATAATATTAGCTCGAGATGGTCGCGGTGATAGGCAGTAAGAGTGGGGTTATTGCCTCCTAAGATGGATGGCTGTGGGGGGTGGTAGTGTATGGCTACTGGGTAGTAGCTGGCAGTAGAGGAGGAGGAATCGGGCTGGGGGAAAACGGTGGTGAGATGGATGGGCTAAGCTACGCTTCGGTATAATATAAGGCGTTAGTCAGGAGGTTAGGAGGATTCCGGAAGGACGAAGAGGATGAGGAGGAGGAAAGTCTCAGAGATCATTCTGTTTTATGGAGAGGATTATATCCCCGTCTCTACCTTTTGGAAACTACACCCCCCCCCTCTCACTTCCTGTTTCCACCACCCTTACACAGTCGTGGCCACTGGGTTTTCCTTCTCTCCCATAAGCACCTCGTACCACGGATGGTACTTCCGGTTAAAATCCATGGAGGTCTGTCCCCGTTTTTACGGGCTTCGAATTGGATCTCCGGAAGCCTATACAACCCCTTAACGTTTCTTCCAAGGGGTGGATTCCTGATAGCTTGGTATTTCGGATTTTATGGTAATAGCCAAAACCCCCCCCCCCCATGTCGAATACGTCCGATTAAACGGTTTTTCAATCGTTCGATTTCAACTTGCCCGATCCTCAATGTTTCTACCCTTCGTCCTACTAGCCACCCCTATTGTCTGCCACTTTTGGTACAGGGGCTGCTTTTGACCTATGTATATCCGGTGGTACCTACGCCGTTTCTCTGGACCCACCCACCCATCCCTCTCTTTTGTGCCTATCCACCCTTACAGCCAACAGGCCAAATTTCATCCCGCTAACGTTAATGAAGCGGAAGGCAGAAATTAAAGCCGCTCGTTAGGCCAGAATGAGTTTCGCCACCTTCGACTTCGAGGCGAGTCTCTCGTCCTCATCTTTTTCACCCTCGCGCCAGATCGCACTAAAGTTTCTTCCATTTGATTTTGGAGTTGAAAACTTCAATTTCCGTCACAAAGACAAATCCTATCTTATCTAAACCTCAAATATTTTAGTAATTCAATATCGAAAGATGCATTCGTTATTATTATTAGCAATATTAATTTTTTATTATATTACATTAATTTATCTATGGAACTTATCCTAATTATCTGTTAATTAACTGAATTAACGATGTATGTTATCAAGAGTACGGGATGTTGGTGGAACGTTTACCAAAATAAATGATGATCTTCTCGTATTGCCTCATGTAATTAAATATATCCCAAACCCCAATATATATATATATATATATATATATATATATACATACAATAAACTACGCTCTACTTCGTATAATGGTTTTTGGTGCTGTATCTCGTGAAGTTTGGTATATCGTTACTACCACGTCATTACGAGGTTGCACTGCAACGAACCGTCATATATTTATATACCGTACAACGAACCAGATATATTTCCATCGATGAGGAGTAATATCCCAAACCCATATATATATATATATATATATATATATATATATACATACAATAAACTACGCTCTACTTCGTATAATGGTTTTTGGTGCTGTATCTCGTGAAGTTTGGTATATCGTTACTACCACGTCATTACGAGGTTGCACTGCAACGAACCGTCATATATTTATATACCGTACAACGAACCAGATATATTTCCATCGATGAGGAGTACATCTGTAGCCTTTGGGATGCTGGATGCATGTAAACATCTACTTTTCAGAGGAAAATACGCGCTTATATTTCGTAAACATGAGACTTTTTAATAATAATATAATTATAGAATGTGAAAGTCGCGTGACCGGGTTCTTCGACCTTTTA